TGAAAAATAATGATATATTATTGGCGCCGATAAAAGTGATTAAATTCGATGAAGAAGAATTAAGAAAGGGATGGAGGCGCAGAAGCCTGAAAAGGGAACGGAGAAGAAGAGGAAGCAGCGTGAATGTGATGGTTTACTGGTGGACGACGTAAATTAATGGACAGGAAAATAAGTCACGACGAAGAAGAAGAAGAAGAAAGATGGGTGGGGTGTGGTGGAGTGGGTTAATTTCAAAAATAATTTGTTGTTTTCTTAAAATTGCTTTTTAATTATTTCTAAATAGAGTTATTTAATAAATTAATTCAATTGCCACGTGTCATCATTTTTGTGGTCCATTTGTTATGTATAAGCGATTGAGATGCACGCATATTTTTCTTTTTATTGATTATTATTTTGTGTCAAATAGGTATAAATTTGTTAAGATTTAAGTGTTCAATAGGTACAAACATAACTTGAGGTGTTTAAGTGAAATATGCGGACAACTTTAAGGGGCCGCATATGACTTAGGCCAAATTTTAAAAAGGAAAATTTCATTAAATTTTATGATCCTAAATTAAATATATGCAAAATCTATAATAAATGTTTTAAAATTTTATCATTTTAATTATTTATGTAAAATTAAAATTAAATTAAACAACTGAAAGAAATAAAAAGATATTTATTTTTAAATGTACTTAAAAAGTCATAGTACATAACATGTCTTTTAACTTAACTTTAGTTGTCATGTATTCAAATTTAGATGTGTAAAAATAACTATTTAAATTTGTGTAAAGTTAAACAGATAGATAGAGTCGTCCTAGACGATAATTCATGTGAGATACACTCATCATACATGATAATTCACGTGAATTACACTCGTCCTACAAGACAATTCATGTGAGATATACTCATCATACATCACAATTCATGTGAGATAAATTCATCATACGTGACAATTTATGTGAGATACATTCGTCCTACATGACAATTCACATGAGATATACTGGTCCTACATGGCAATTCATGTTATATACACTCGTCTTATATATCAATTCACGTGAATTACACTCGTCCTATATGACAATTCACCTGAGATACTGATCCTACACGACAATTCATGTGAGATACGTACTCGTCTTACATAACAATTCACATGAATTGCACTCGTCCTATATTCACATGAGATGCACTCATACTACCTGACAATTCATGTGAGATAAATTCGTCCTACATAATGATTCATGTGAGATACATTCCTCCTACATGACAATTCACATGAGATATACTGGTCCTACATGGCAATTCATGTTATATACACTCGTCTTATATATCAATTCACGTTAACATGTTTTATATAGTTAATTTTATGTTGTATTTCTAAAAGACATAAAAATGTCGTTATATAGTTATTTTTATGTTGTATTTCTAAAAGACATAAAAATATCTATATTAAAAATTGATATCATGGCTTAACAGCCTAAACAGATTAAAGGAGCATACAAAGAAATCACGATTAAGCACTTTAATCTACAAAAGGCAGAATAGAATAAACATTGACAAGCAAATAAGTTGAAATACTCAACCTACCAATTATTAAATCCTTTTTGGATTCTTTCATACCGGTTGAAATTACATCTGTATTCTGGTAATGATCAATTTACTTGAACTGAAAAAAGATGTTGAAAACTGAGTAACATCTAAGATGCCTACTACCACTTAAAAACTAACAGACAGATCAAAACAAGACTTTGATAAATTAAACATAACTCATGCTTTGATGAAAATATAAGTATCCCTATATCTCCAAGTTCCGCTTCAGTAGCTACCTGTTTCTCCAAAAAGTTATTTTTAAGTTTTCTGAACCAACTGCTGCTGAGACCATCAACTGTTAAAAAAAGAACATTGCTCATCTGGTGCAGATTACTTAGGACGACTGTGGGACATTAAGCAAAGCTGAAAACTTGTTCCAATCCCAATCCTCCAAGTTCTGTGACACAATAGCACCTCCCACCGCCATAGCCAAAAGAACAACAACAAATCCTTTCAGACACCCATGTCCATGAGACAGCCTTGCTAACAACATTTTACAGTACTTATCTGCATCTCTCAAGTGTGACTGGTGAGCAACCACTCCACCAGTTAATGATTTCTCATTCTACAAGCAAAAGTAATACAAAATAGTCATTTGACTTGTATGAGTTTGGAGTAAATGTAAAACTAGCAACTACTGTGGCAAGCAGATATAACCCCCCCAACCACCAACCCGAAATGGCCCATGGTTCTGCTAGTGCTGGGACTAAGTAGGACAGAAAATCCCCAAGTCAGGATTCAGACCCCCAAGCCCAAGAAAAGAAACCGAAAAACCAAACAACCGAATACAAAAACTACCTTCTGTCTGAAGCTCTTGAGAGTCTCCTTCAAAGCCTCCGGAGAAGACTGTCTCCTCGATAACTCCTTCCACCCCTCGGTGAGCTTTCTCAACACTGCAACACTTGCTTCTATGTTATCCAGGTAAATCTTGTCCTGTTCAGAAAAAAATGAAGACAAGAAAAATGGATTATGAAAATCTGAAGAACTTTACTCCTATATATTTTGCAAAAAAGCAATGCATAAGACTTGACAAAAAGCCAAGTGGGTGTATAATTCATACCCACTGCTTGTAACAGTCAGCACTCTGGGTCAAACACCAATTGAATATGTTTGCTGCCTCTCGAGATAGTTCTGGATTGCCTGCAGAAGAGCCAATGTTAATTCTTGCTTACCAGCCACTCTACAATCTAAAAATCTCAGGGAAATCAGTTCAAGTAAAAGATATACCTCCTCCAACGGCCTTTACAGCTAGTAGAAGTATCTGTTGTGAAACTTGCTTCATTGCTTTGCTTCCAGGGGAACCAGCAAGCGCAACCTCCTTAAGAGTGGGATATACTGCCTCAAACCTTTCAGTTGCCTGAAATTGAAATAATTAAGAAATTAGAATACAAGAAAAATTCACCTGATCCACTACGAATAGGAGAAGAAGACAGACAAACACTCAATCACACCTTGACTCGCGCAGAAGGAGCGGGGAAAGTCACTCGTAGAAGCAGGTCAAGGGATGAAGGCGGCATCAGACGCTCTCCCTTCCTAACAGCCCCATTTACTAAAATTGTACGAGCTTTTGGTGCAGAGAGGATCCTGAAATTACATTTTTTTTTAAAAAGAATTAGCTCTTACTGTGGGGCAAAGCAGACAAAAATGTAACCAAGAGATGCAATCAAAAGTTACAGACCTTTCTACCACCTGCAAAATCAAGTCCCTTGTCTGCGGATTGGAACCTGATTTTCCTCCAACTAAAGGCAAGGTATGATGTGCCCACAAGTACAATCCAACGCAGAGATCGCCCTGACAGGCCTGTACCAGAGTATCCGTTTTGATGTTAAGAAGCCAATATAAGGTGGAGAAGAAATAAAGGGTAGTTCTAATAAACAGTGGAGCTCTACATCACCTGGACTATCATCCATGGAATAACTGTAAGTTTGTCTTGCCCTTGATACTTTGGACTTTCCCGAAGCGTCGGGAGTATAGTGATTAAAACATCAGGCTTTCGTCGTAGTACCATTGCCAAAACTAAAAACATGGCAACCTGCAATTTAGTAATTTGTTGCACAAGTATCAGCCCATGATGTCAAGATATTTTGCTAACAAGCATGTTATGGCAATTGAGTTGATTACGACAACCATGCCAAAGAAATTGTACTCTATTTTGTAAGTGGATGGTGTTGCTAATCTTACCTACAGCTTATTTAAGTTCAACTAATTCAGGAATCTTCTTTTGGTTTGGCATCACTAAATAATTCATCCACGATCAATATAAAACTAGCTGCAGTGATTCTTTCATCTACCGCTCGAGTGCTTGGTTTGATCAATTTCATCCTTACAAGACAAAATCTCGACTGAGAAAGACTATACACAAGTGATCATGTCACATAAGTGGGCGGCTCGAAAATTTACTAGGGAAAAATTAATTAACTTGATCACAAAAGATAATAATCAGATAACAGTGCAAAGGACTTCATTGTGACACTAAATTTGTATGACCTTGAGAGCCATATCCACCTTCTAAGGTAAAGTAATTTAACCCTCTTCCCTCCTTGTTTTACCCCGTTTGGCTCTGCCTAACTCTACAAGACTACAACTTATAGTGAATGGAGACTAAATTTGGCATTCCTACTACTCTCACCAAACTGATTTAAATCTTTTTCTCTTCCCTTTCTTCTCAGGATTTACCTTTTGCTACCTAATCCCAGAAGAGGAAAGCAAATAAAAATAGATGTATCCCTTCCAAATGCCTGAAGCCTTCTGCTTTTATACAGGGACACATATACATACAAGGGACCAATCCATACATAAACTTTAAAGACTCTATACGTAATTGCAAAGTTATTCCAAATAATTGAAAGAAAATCTCTGGGGATACCTGAGATTTTGACGATGTTTGTTGGCCACCTTTCTTGGAGCCCTTAGAACCTGCTAGTTGGGCCGTTAAGTCCACAAGAATACTGTCTAGTCCCCACAGCACAAACGATCCAAGAGCCTCGAAAGAACGTTGGTTGATCCAATCCACTGATGTTTTATAAACTGGTTCAGGAAGATGTGAAACAGGAACCTGTTTGTTGTAAATCAAGTTATTACTCTTTCAGTCACATATGGTGCCAACCAAATATTTGAAAGCAATTATCACTCTTTTTTTTTTAGAATGGAAAGCAATTATCACTCTGTACACAAGAACTTAAAATTTCATACCTAAACACAATTAGATACATATAGTAACCATTCATCACATATGTACACCATACACAAATGATGTACTCAGTAATCATCCAAAGAGAGCAACCAAATTCATAGATCTAAGAAGCAGAGCAAATTTGATCATCGACCGTGTTATTGAGCATCGATCTAAGGGAGAGATGCAAACCATTGACTGGCAACTAGATGACCAACAAAGATAGAATAAATATAAGTCGAGTTCCCTGCATTTAGATCCATCAAGAATGAGAATGCTCTCAGCAGCTAGCTGGTGTTACATGAGTGAATGACCATAAATTTCATGAAAGATAGTATGCCGCTTCACTTGGCATTTCTTGCAACAGTAAAGATTAATGACAAAAGAAATCAAAGCATACAACATAATATCATGTAATGGTCAGTAAATTAGCAAATTCAACATAATGTTAATAATGAGCTGAATGTTACAAATTACTACTTGTTTTTTTCCACAACACCCTGTGACTAGGCTTGGAACTTACTACATTCGAAATTTCAGTTAATAATGGTGGTATCCAGGCTAACTTGCTGGCAACTCGACCATCATACAATACCTGCATCCTCCACAAGTATAAGTAATGGGTAACTCTATCCACAAAAGTTTAGGTAGATCTGAAGAAATGATTTAACTTTTTGCTTATGCCGGGATACTAGTCTTGCATGGTCCCTCATTCAAATTTCATTGACGGCTAGGCCACACCATCATGTGCAGTTTTAGATATTAAAATTATATAAGTAATTGTGAAAGATTTATAATAAAGTGAGAGTTGAAAACTTAAATTGATGTAAAATATTAGAGTAGACTTACATAGTCCCTTATGTATGGGTACAAGTATATATTTTTCCCTTACCTATAAAACTGAATAAAACATCCCTTATTTCTGTAAAAGTGGATATCTTTAGTCATAACATTAAAGAGTGTTTTACAAAAAAAAAACAACAGAAAAGTCTCAAAGTGAGTCTAAAATAATGGCAGCTTCTTTCGAAACGTCTTCTTCCTCTTCTCTCCCTAACTTCTTCCATTCTACCCAAAATCCTTAGAAACCACAATTCCTAGAAACATAATCCTAATTAGTGGCAGATCTAATCCACATCAAGCAGGAACTTATCTACTGCTGAAAGAAATTAGAGTTACAGGTATTTACACTTCATTGTTACTTGATCAAATTGTGTTTTTCCCTCTTAAAAGTTGGAAAGCACTGAACATGAAATTGAAGCAAAACCTGTGTTTCTTGGTTTGAATGGGCTATAACATGCCATAGATGCCAGAATACTCTCTCTTTTTTTTCCCTAGTGTTTTTCCTTTCTGGCTTGCAAATTTCAGACCAGCTCCAAACCCTTAAACTTTCATCTTGTTAGTTCTTCTCTCCTTTTAAAAATTAATACAGAAACTTATTACTAATCTCTGAAATAAATTTCAAAAAAATTGTACAGGTTAAGCAAGCCCTTATACCATGTTATCAGAGCACGAATAGAAACAAAGAAAAAAGATTTCTCCCTTCAATCTTTTTTACATTTGGTTTAAAGCTAAAGTTATCTTTGAGATTTTTACTGTTAGTTTTGAAAACACGGGTTAAGGTTAAGACTAACGATATCCACTTTTACAAACATAAAGGATGTTTTATATTCAGTAGTACAGAAAAGGGACTAAAAATTAACATAAAGTTTGATTGGATTAATAAATGAAGTCTTAAGGCTTGTGAAAGTTGTATTAAATAGATATTATTAGCCTTAGTAATTTCAAACATTAGGAGACATCCAAAATATAAAGAGGTGGAGAGCAAAAAAGGGAGCATTTTTACTTGGTATCATACTACTAGTGCTTCCTAAGTAGTATTTCCATATATCACAATGCACATCCAAACATTTATTCAAAGGAAACCAACCACATAGCAATGTGGCCAAAAACCAACTGTTTCTCACAAAAGTTGTCAAATTTGAAAATGAATGTCAAAAGTCTATGAAACTCACATCTGCAATTTTACTGATAGGGGACTCCCTGAACAATTTCAACCACGGAAATTGTGAACCAGCCACTGCCGCAAATGACCGTCCAAAGTAATCCGCAAAACGCATCAATTGTATTTCTTGCTGAGATTCATAGGAAACCTTCATAACATAGAAAAAGTCAACAGGTGCAATTTGGGGATCGAAAAACGAAATGATGCGTAAATAGATCAAGATATTCTCTTACAGTTATATCAGCGAGAAAAGCATCTAGATCAGCTGCATCGATCTTCGCAGCAGCTTCAGCCACAGTAACTTTTGGCTTCTTCGGTTTTTTTACTTTGTCCGTCTTCTTCTCCCCAACCACACCATTTTCAGCACCACCTTCAGCATCGTTATCCTCGTCTTCATCGTCCGACCGGTGTTTCATCGCCGATCTAACCGGAGCATCGCCAACAGCGTACATCGCAGCCGTCTGAGCTGCAATTCTCTTGCGGCGTTCATCGGAGTGCTTCTCAAGCGACTTATACACATTATCGGCGCCGGAAATAGCAGATCCATTGGCGATTACCTTGCCTGAATCCGAGAGTTTTTGCTGCTTTTTTTTCTGCTTCTTCACATATGTCACCTTTTGCCATCCGTGATTGTTATCGTTGTTTGATACGGAGTGACTTGATTCGAATGGAATGGATTTATCTTCCATGATTATCCTTCTTTCTCTTGTTTTTCTTCTGTAAGAGTGCCGGAGAGGTAGAGAAACAGATCGGAATTTTTGGGAAGAAAGAAAAAGCGTTTGGTCGGAGACGAGGGTATATAAAGGAGTTGACTCAGTAACATAGGGTTTCCCGTTTCATAAAATTACGGAATACCATTTTCAAATGTGAAACTATCCGTCAATATTGGATTATACATGAATATTCAATATTGGCCAAAAAAAATTGTATCTAGTTTCTTATAAATCCATTCAATTATCTATACATATTTTTTTTAGATTCTACTCTCTCTGTCCACTTTTAATTGTAATATTATGTTTTTCGAAATTTAGTTTAATTAATTTTTAAAGTTAAATTACATTATATTAATTTAATATTTTAAATAAAATATTTAGATATTCAAAAGGGGAAACTCACATAAATATACTATAATAAAAAAAAAATTACCATTTATAGCAGTAACATTTTTTTTTCATTTGATCACTTTTAATACATTTATAATATAGTTTTAATACACATTACAAAGAACAAGTTTTATTGATAGAAAATACATTTATCACACATTTTAATAAATTTATAATACAATGTGTCAACTTCTTACAAAAGAAGCATAATATATTTTTAAAAAAACTCAGTTATAATACATTATATATTACATACATAATTCACTTTTAATACATATTACAGATTTAACATAGTATTGTTATGTATTGCTAAAAATGGTAATAAATAAAAAGTATCGCTAGAATTCGTAATTATTTTCTAAAAGACACCCATTCAAGTAATTTTTTTAAGAATATATCTATTAATTTGATTATTTAACATGATGATTTTTTAACTAATTTCTCACTTATCACTTGAATAAAACATATAAATAATGTCTATATCTCATCTATATCTCTTGTTTTATATTTCTCATATTTTACAGTATATGCTATTAGTCTGAGACTTACAATTAAAATAGAGACTAGATAATGTTGTCTATGCTATGCATGGGCTCAGTAATATAAATAGTATGTTTTGGGGCTAATAACAGAATTTTTAAAGTGATTGTTTGTGTGGATAAAGGAATAAGTTTTTTTTATCACAAACATATACTTTCTTTGATGCTATTAAAGGCATAATAAGACTACCCACATATAATATTTTTGAAATATTTTATGTTGTCAATTATCATGATTTATAATATTTTTACGC